TAATAATAATAATGATAATGATAATGATAATGATAATGATAATGATAATGATAATGATAATGATAATGATAATGATAATGATAATGATAATGATAATGATAATGATAATAATAATAATAGCTAACGCTCTCGTAAATAACCTGAAGAGGTAGGAAACCAGAACTGGCTTGGCGCGTTGACGCTATTACAGTATAGGGACAATGACATCTCACCAGACAGTACAGCTRTACACTACAAATGRCGTAACATCMCTGATATACTCTATTCTGTGAATTCCAACATACGGCAACAATTGCTACCAACAAAGGTATACAAGAAAGTCAAATTACAGCAATCAAACCAAGATACAACTTGCAGAATGTGTGAACAAACCCAAGAATCCACGTCATGACATGATAAAATGCTAAGACCATATTATCACTACCTACTCTATAAATATGGATTTGAAAACAATGACCATACAAGACCTTGGTATGAACAGAGCCCACCCGTGGCAGTAGTCGAGAACGAAAGAGCAAAGATTATGTRGGATATAGAGTTCCATCTACCGAGAGCACCTCAAAAACATGCTAACAAAATAGACATGGCAATTAATGACAAGAAAAGACAAGTGTGGCTGCTGTTAGAGGGAACAGTCTGCGCTGTTGGCAAGATAAAGGAAAGAAGTACTTTCAAGCAAGACAAATACCGTGAACTGCGAAGTGGGATCAAACAACTGTATCCCAAACATCAGATTACTCAAGTGAACATAGTGTTTGATTTCCTAAGTAACTACCATCACAACCTTAAAACAGAGATCATCGAAAACATCACAGCAAGTCAAGAAGAGGCACACTATTTATTACTTAAAAGAAGTGGATAATCTCACAAAATACGGAAATCGTTAAGAATTTCTATACTTATGTACACGAATAAAAATGTAGCGRGTTTMAGGATAGSAATAAAGACTGAGCGAGACATTTAAAAACAGCTTAGCCAAGGCTACTCGCCCGCAAAGTTGTCAATTTTCAAAAAGAAATTMAATAAAGGTGTCAATAATAATAATAACAATAATAATAATGATCATGCATTGGTTGAGAGCGGACATACTCCTTTGTCCTCCTTTTACCTTTTAGCCTTTTTTCTACTTTTTACATTCATTCTCCTACTTCTGAAGCATGGCAAGGAATCAAAAGCGTATTAAATGGACAGAGGCAATGAACTGGGATGTTTTAGAATGCAAGAAGAGAGCCATTGAGATGATATCCTCGTGTAATCCACCGCTTAATGCTAAAAATGGCAGGAAAAAGGGATATGTTGAAATCATGGTGGAGCTCTGGAATGAAAAGGGATATGGATATCTTGCTTAAAAGTCAAAACCTAAGAGATCAAGCGTCTAGAGTGGAAAAATTACAAAAGTATTCAGAGGAAAATGGCCAAAGTTTTAGGGAAAATATTGACGATTCACAAAATGCTAATGATTCAACAAGTCACTCAAATTTGCATACTACTATGACTTCAACCTACTGGGAACAAAGTGTAACAATAGAAGACCGAACGACCATCAATGAAACCAGTCAGCACAATGAAAGCAATCAACACTCTTCTCTTGCAGGACCAAACAATGGACTGTCAAATCATAACAAAATCCAGCCAAATCTGCCCGATTATAATATTTTTCCTTCAGAAATTAAAAATAAAATGTGGGGTAGTATCAACCACGCTTCTTTCTGTGAAATCGTCCACGATATTTATGATGAAATTGTCCATTACAGAAGAAACATCTTTAATGTACCATCTGGCCGAGCCGGAAAGAGTTTTGTTGAAGAACTGACCTTTTGGTTGAAGCAATTTAATTCCAATTCGGATTTAAACTCCATCGCTTTAAAGGCTTTTATGTTTCTCCCAACTCTGATCTTATATCTCTGATATATACAAGAGAAAGCCACGTCTGTTGAAGACATATCCAAGAAGTTTGCTAACCTTGTCTTACATGGGAAATTGTCTGCTGCAGTAAAACTTTTAGATAACGAGAGTTCTACTGGCGTGCTTAATCTCTCAGCAGACATTCTGCAAGAGCTAAAGAATAAACACCCGGAACCTTCAGACACCACCAAGGAGACCTTGCTTCATGGACCTATTGATTATGTTCCTCCAAGCATATACGACCCCATTGATGAAGAGATGATCTTTCAGTCAATAAGCAGATCAAAAGGTTCAGTGGGACCATTAGGAATGGATGCAGAGCTATATAAGCGAATATTATGCTCGAAGAATTTCAAGTCTGAGGGGAAAGCTTTAAGGGAAGAGATAGCTTTATTCACTAGACGGCTACTTACAAAGTCCTACCACCCGTCTTTAATCGAGGCTTGACAAAAATCCAGGACTCAGGCCAATTGGTGTTGGAGAGGTCTTGCAGCGGTTGGTCGGCAAAACAATTTCGTTATTCTTAAAGGATGAAATCAAAGATGCAGCTGAGCCCATACAAGTCTGTGCAGGACATAGAGCAGGAGCAGAAGCGGCAATACACGCTATGAGCCAGGTKTTTGAGGAAGAAGGGACTGACGGGATCCTACTGATTGATGCTAGCAACGCCTTTAACCAGATGAACAGATCTGTKGCACTGCATAATGTTCAAATACTATGCAAGGAAATGGCGCTCTACATTATTAACACCTATAGAGGCCACTCTAGACTCTTTGTGTGTGGAGGAGGCGAGTTACTATCACAGGAGGGTACTACTCAGGGTGACCCCCTTGCTATGGCTTGGTACTCGGTCAACACTACTGGAATTATTCAATATCTGAGAGCAAATTCCCCAAGTATTAAACAAGTGTGGCTAGCCGACGATTCCGCGGGAGGTGGGAGGATCTCTTCTTTATACGATTGGTACAAGCTCTTGAGTCTGGAAGGTGAGAAATATGGTACAGCACATATACTAAGAAGGACACTATCCATCAAGTAATACCAATCACAACTATATATGGACTCCTTATGTTCAAGGGATGAACACGGACCTATATTTTATAAAACTTTGAAAAGAAAACAATACAGATAATAATAATAATAATAACTACTACCTATGCTCGAAGAACAAAACTTAAAGCTAAAAATCTGGCACTTGAACATTTAAAACATAAATGGGAAGAAAAACCTCTTCATGGTCAGTACCCAAAACGAGTCAATGACAAAGATGTGGATCAAGCACAAACGTATGAATGCCTTAGAACATCTGGCCTTAAATCTGAAACAGAAGGGTTTATCATTGCTGCACAAGACCAGTGTATCAAGACCAACTACTATTAATAGGAATAAGATCTTAAAAAATGGAACGGACCCAATGTGTAGGATATGTGGCAAAAACCAAGAAACTATAAACCATCTTGTTTCTGGCTGCTCAGAATTGGCCAAAACAGAATATATTCATAGGCATAACAAAGCAGCAGCATACCTCCACTGGGCAATTTGTAAGCACTATAATATTGAGGTCAAAGATAAGTATTATGAACATGAACCATCAACTGTAGAAGACAATGAAGAAGCTACTATAATGTGGGATATGCCAATACAAACTGACAGGGAAATAAAGGCCAATAGACCCGATGTAGTGGTGAAGAATAAGAAAGAGAAAACCTGCTTGCTTATTGATATGTCTATTAATCCAACTGTCGAGTGAAACACCTCCGTAAAAACAACAGAAAAATCATCTAAATACAAAGATCTTGAAATAGAAATTCAAAGAATGTGGGGTATGAAGACCACAACAATACCTGTGGTAATAGGTGCTCTCGGTCTAATCAAGAAAGGGATGGAAAAATATGTCAAGWAGATCCCAGGTAACATCAGGGTACAGGAAATACAGAAGGTTGCTCTCCTTGGCCCTGCTCATATACTAAGGAGGGCACTGTCAATCAAATAAACCATACACACCCTCATAGATGCCCCAAGTCCAGGGCCTTGGACTCGGCATCATGAGTGCATAGAGCAGTAATAATAATAATAATGATGATGATGATGATCCCAAAGAAAGAAAACCCTCAAGCCAAAGACCATCGTCCAATAACTCTACTTAATACAAATGTACAAGATAATAACATCAGATAATAACATCAGTGACTGGGGCGAGGAGCACATGGCGGTCGGCCACGGTTTTTAGTAGCTCCTTTAAAATCTCATTTTGGAAGTAGGTAAAGAGCCAAAAGACTGCCCTCTTTTCTAGYAATAAGCTCTTTTAATGTTTAAAAAATGACTAGATCAAGTAGAAATAAGTCCAAGACAAAAGAAGACTCTTCTTCAGATGGAAAGGACGAACTGCATGGAAATACACAAGATGGCACTGAGGAAGAAAATGGCGGTGCTGGGAATACACCAARTTCAGCAGAAATGTSGAAGGTATTGCTTGAAATTAAACAAAATACAACACGTCTCCTTGAAGAAAATGATAAGACAAATAAAGCCATAGAAGAATTAAAGGAAAATCTAAGTACTACCTCAGAAAGAGTCAATAACGTGGAGAAAGAGAACGACACACAAAACGCTAACTTAAAAGACCTGGAGGAAAGACTGGACAGATGCGAGCAAGAAAAAGACGAATTGGAGCAGTATACCAGAAAATTTAACYTGGAAATAGTTGGTATCCCAAAATACGAGCATTCTGACCTCCAAACCGTTCTCCAAGTCGCTCAAGCAATCGACGTAAACTTAGAGGAAAAGGAGATAGATATTGTTCACAGAATTAATACAAGYAAAAGAGATGTGAATCAATACACAAACCCTATCATAGTACGCTTCAAATCCTAYAATTGTAAGAAAGARCTATACAGAGCAAAGAARAACTTAAAAAATGTTGACTGGRCAGCMATATTCGGTGAACCCKTAAGAGTGTTTATCAATGAAAATCTCACCAAGAGGAAAAGCAAACTCTATAAAGAAACAAGAAAAGCAGTAAAAGAAAAAAGAGCATGGAAGACCTGGACTATCGATGGAAAAATCTTTATGGTAAWAACTCAATWCTCAAATCCTTCACTTATTAGAAACATGGACGATCTAAACRAAMTAGAATAAGGTATGAATAATTAYATYTACTAAGTAGTTTTTGTGCTAAAACAACAAACAAAGTTAACAAAAGTTCTTAGTAACGAACCATTATAGGGACCGTTAATGAGTAA